TTTGGACAGGCACTTATGTCACATGGGATATTGGCATCATGCTCTACTTTATTTGCTCTGCCAGAAATCTAAAGCAGGACTGCTGAGCATTGTCAATATTTCATTTATTTTGATAATCATATGTCTGTGGTCTGTCATCCGATTGAAAGGAAGTGAAATAGCACGTATAAATATGTTGTAACCTTCTCATCTTCATTTCATCACAGTGCAGTTTTATTTTGTGCTCATGAATCATCTTTGTTCTGGTCTCAGCACAGGTTGTCTGCTAAAAAGTCATCCAGAGCACGTTTTCTCTGTGCTTACTTCTCTGCTGCTGCTCCTGTCCTTGTCTCTCAATGCACACTATTAGTTTAATTTTTTTTTTTCATCTTTTGTTTTCACATACAGCTGTTCCTACACATTCTTGATTACTGCCATTGTTAATACTGCATTGACAGCACTTCTCATAGTTATAACAACTTCTGTTTGCTGTACTTAACAGGAAAAATAAAGTTTTAACTGGATATCACAATAGTAATCTGTATGCAGCTAGAATAGTAAACCTTGGGTTTATGTATAGTTTCTGTTACTACATATATAAAATAAAAGAACAAAAAAGTTGAAGTACTGCACTGCACATAAGTTATGCATTAGTTGAAATGTGAAGGCACAGTACTTTATTAAAAATAAGTGTTTTAACATTTTTAAACCCTTGTACTTTAAACAGTTTGTCAAATTGCTTCTTACATACTTAAAAAACATATCTCCTAGAATTCCCTAGAGATGCATGTTTACTATTTTAAGTTCATAGTTTTAATTTGGGCTTGTGTTTTTAATCTCATTTATATGGAATTAAAATGGGCTATAAAGGAAATTCTAAATTGCTTTAAGGCTACTTGGAATATTGACCATTTAAATTCTTAAATTTACAAATACATGCAGGTACAGATAAACATAATTTCAATAATATTGCAATGGCCTGTAAAGTAATTAGGAATACGGAATCCTAAAGCTCCCCTGAGTTATGTGACATTTAGGATGTGTGGCCACAAGCAAGGTGCACCTGTGTGATGAATGTGTGTATAAATATGAGAAAAATTAAGCAACCTCTTTAAACAAACATAGTTCAAAAGGATGTTTAACAAAGGAAATTACCCCACATTATTAAAATTTATATGTGAGTAAGAATACATATAACTTCCTGTCATTTGTAATCATTGATGTTGTATTACGACATTTATTAATATTTGTATAATTATTTATAATATTATTAGGATGCTAGCTAGAGATACAATATATAAGCAATGAATGTATACCAATTCAGTGTGAGATTTCCCATCATCATTTCAAAATACATTTTAGTTGTGTTCAGAATTGTTGTCAGAATGATGCCGAGAATGCCTAGAGTAGGTAGGTAGTTGTCACTGTGGACACCAGCTTAGGAAAACACTGAAATATGTCATCGCAGTTGATTATAAATGCCAGTCAAATCAGAGATTGCCATAACAAAACACTTTGTAAACCTATTTAACATTTTTCATTGTTGTTTCTTGCATTTTGGTTTCTTCTCATAAATCACAGGTTGTTTTTTTTTCCTCTTCCTAAGCTTGCTTTTTTGTGTGCAGAGGAGTGAAGTGTTTTATTACCATGATATGCCACTTATTGTACAAGAAGTTTATGCTGTAAAGCACAGCCAACACTAGGAATTGCTGATATGTGGTATTCTCACATTCTCGGAATTCCAGCATGTAATGAGAAATAGTTGCTATTCACAGCAAAATACACAAACGGCTGTGTTCAGAAACCCAGTTATAACAGGCTGCTCTCATGGAGCTTCTGCTTATGAACTACATTTTGTCCTCTATTTAGTAAAATAATTATGTTTTATTAGGAAGGGGCTAAAGTGCTGTTATATATACTCTTGTAAACCAAAAATGCCAAGCCATCTCTGCTAGGTGATTATATATATATATATATAATGGTCTAATTTTTTGGTAATTCTTAGGGCTGTTAGAGCATACATCATTTTCTAGTGGTGTTGTGGGCCATTAACTGGAATAACAGGGAGCTGTGCAGAATACAGTGAAAATTCCACATAAAAAAGAAATCATTGCTTATTATTATGTAGTCTTTCTAGTGTCATTAGTCTATTTATTTCATTTCTATCAACAGCTATTACGTTGGAAATAATACTCTGACACAATGTGCTGCAAATAGTGAATTAGGGCTTTTCACATTAAAACTTATTTTTAAAAGTAAATAAAGATATTACCTAACCACTGCTCTGTACTAAAGAGTTTGTAAGGAAATACTCTTAATTTAGTCTTGGAGATATTCATGTGGATGCTTTGATGTGAAGATGAATAGTTGGAACATTGACCACAGTAAAAGTCAGAATTTACTGAGGAGTAACTGCTACTTAAGGGACAGATACTTCAGCCTATGTTAGTATCACAATGATGAGGATAATCAGATTTAGACTAAACATTACATATATTGTACAGAGTGAGATGGTTGTTAGTTGGCTCTTTTATTTTGTCTGCTACTAACACTGCTTTTAAATTAATATTAAACAGAATATTTATTAGAAGATGTTTTTGCCATTTCTATGCAAGGACACAAAAAGGAAAACAGAGCATGAAAACCCTGAGACAGATTAAAGTAATGTAATTACAATTTGGTGATAGGCATCTAGTGCACTGTATACACCTTGACGTATGGTGCTGTTTTTGCTGGAAACTAGAATTTCATACAGTGCATGCCAGCTCTGAAAATAAACAAGTCTAAATCACTTCCTGCTGGATGTGAATTGCATTAGCAAGTAAAGGGCTTGTGCGTTGTGAATTTGACATATTCTAATGTTAGGAACTGAGAAGCTTTTAATATCATTCAGAAATAAATTGTTAAAACTTGGGATATTAATGTGATTGCCTGAGCATATTGGAAACTAATTTGTAACAGGTATTATTTTAAATTTTTTTAATGGATATGGTTGGGATTTCTTTTGTTTAAAGTTTGTTTTAAGTTTCCTTGTTGTCTTCAATACCTTGTTACTTGAGAACAGATAGTTTAACTGTTGATTGTGGAGAGCATTAACTTATTTATACAAAGAATTCATATGAATTGTAAGAAATATAGTTTACATTGATGTTGTTACAGCACGTTTTTTTAAGTAGAGACTATTTGCAAGAATTTGGGGGGATTTGTTTCTGCCAGTTTTTTTTGTTTTGTTTTGTTTTTTTTCTCTTTTTTTGCATGTTTGTGTTGTTTTCTTTTTCATTCATTTGGTCTTTTATTTATTTTGTTTTCCCAAAATATCAAACTGAGCTTGTCTTTTCAGTTCTTTCTACAGGAAGTTGCTAGCAATTCTTAATCTTCAATATTGAAACATTGGTTGATTCACTGTAGAGTTTTTTTAAGATCTTAAATGTCTTGTAAGGTCTTAAATGTATTTTTATGAGCTGCCTTGATTGCTCTTATTCAAGTAATGCCACAGCTTGTAAAGAAGGCTTGTAGTCATACTGTTCATAAAGGCTTTTAGTCATACTTTCTCATTCAAAGATGATTCCTGCATAGAAAGCAGTGAGGTCTCAGCACATAAATAACAAAATTTTCATCAGCTTGTTGTGTGTGTTTGAGGGGTGAGTTGCTTAAAAGTTTTTTTTAGCTGTCTGCTGTAGCTAGAACAACTCTGTTTACATGTGCAAGAAATGACACATTAGTTATTGGAATGTTTATCTTACTTTCCACTGGCAATACCTGCTTTTCACCAGTTACCAGACTGTGTCAGTAACCTCTCAGATTAAATAAAAGGTATTATTACCCAGTCCAGTTTGTAGTAGTCATCTGTCCTTTTTCAGTGGAGTTTAAAACTCAGTGTAGGGTGTTTCAGATTAGCTTTAGAGTCAAGGCAATGCAGTCACCTCTTGCTCTCCCATCTGTGTGTTACCCAGTCTGAGAGTAAAGGGCAGCTGCCCCATAATGTCTGAAGGTATTGCAGTAACACTTCATAACATCTGACATTTTTCTTCAATATTGCCTTTATTTCTTACACTATGAAATATAAATATAGATAGCCTCTTAAGGGAAATCGCATCTGTAACTTTTAATATAATACCATCATTTCCTATTCCTAACAAAAGGCAATATATAAAATTGTGTAACAGCTTGCAAGAACAAATTCTAATAGTCAATTCAGTCCTAAATGAACAAAAACAAATACTGGAGCAATAACTCGCTACTCACTATCAAATAATTGTGTGATATGAAAAGGTTTGCTGTGATTTTTTTTTCTTTGCCTGGAATAATAAAATATATTTTAGAAAAGTCTTTTAATACATTTATGTCAGTTAGAACATGGCTTTGCAGTGTTTGTATAATATTCTTCCAGATTATCTTTGTCCTAAATCAGTTTTTCGGAATATTTTTTTGCTAACAGTTTTCTTTTTGGAAATTCTCCACCCTGATCCTTCACACTTCTCAGATGAGAGGACAGTGGCTTTGCTCCTCTGAAGGCAGAGTAATAACTGTTCACCTTCCACTGCCCAGGTCAAATGTCCAGTCACTGCCCAAGAAGAAAACACTTTGTTACTCCTTCAACACATCAGTGTAGAATTAGAGAAGCATCACTGCAAATGATTAATTTAAAAGTAATTTCATGTAGCTAATAGGACATAACCTCTTAATTCACAATTAGTAATTCTGTGATTAGAGATGAGTATGTATCACAGATGATCAGGTTTTTTGTTAACAGTTTTTGAGTCTGTATTTAATGTACACTGGTGAAGACTAGGTGTATCAAAAGCATGCTGTGCAATTTTCATTTTCAAGCATCTAATATTTAAGGGAAAATATATTTTTGAAAGATGAGTTCTTTCCTTGTTCTTGGACTAGCCTTAAACTGTTGGGATGAAGATAACAGCTAATAACCTGCATTTTCTTTGATCTTGCACTTTGATCTTGAGAGAGAAATGTGAATATCCTATCAGTCTGTCTCACTTTCCATCTGTCTTATTTTCTAGGAGGTGATTTCCTGTCATTCCTAAGAAAAAAGAAGGATGAGCTGAAAACCAAACAGTTGGTGAAATTTTCATTAGATGCTGCCTCTGGTATGGCATATCTTGAATCTAAAAATTGTATACATAGGTAAGGAAGATTTTTTTATTTCTCACTAGTGTACCTTTGCTTAGTAGAAATGCAAGATGTTTAAAGGTGTATGGTCTTTACTATCACAGAAGTGAACCCAGCTCTTTCAAACAAAAAAATACTTTTTCTGATGAGTTGGTTATTATTTCTTGTCTAACTCAAATAGTTATTTGGGTAACAAAGAAATGCTACATTATTTGATGTCTGTAGTTTGGTGCTACTAATAGAAGTTAAAAATTGTTTTTCACCATGATATGCATTATAAGGAGCCTGATTCATGCAGTGAGAATGAATCATAGCAAGAAGCAGTCTGTGAGGCTTATGTCATGTCTGAAATGTGCAAATGCTGGGCCAACAGAGAAGTTAAGGTATTAAATTAATGCCTTAAGTATTAAGAGCTGAAGTTCTGTATATTAAAATATTAATTGCCTGAACTACTCTCTCTGAGAGATGGAAGATTATGGGTCATCATACTGTTGGAGTTTCTTATTTCTGTTAGTACCATTCCTTTTTCTTGTGTCTTCTCCAGTTTGACTCTGCCATTGCTGTTTATACTCCATTTATATCTAAGGGGATGGAATTAGTTTCCACCTGTTTTGTTCTCGCAGAATAGCACATTATATATATACATACACATATACACATAGTATATATCCTGCTTAGTGCTATGTGTAAAATATGAGATGTAAACATGATGATGATCTATTTCACACAAAAATTACAGAGAACAAGTTTTCATTTCTGATGTTGATGTCTTACACTTTGTGGAGCATCTACAGGTGAACTGTGTGACACCTCATTTACATAATCAGTTCATTTGGGATTTAAAACCTTTCTGGTGAAATCTCTTACCAGAGATCTGAGTGGTATTTCTTAGATTTTCATCAGCAATGAATGGGTCAGTTGCAGTCCTGCACATCAGGTTAATCAATACAATTCTAGATCATGATCTAGTAAGAAACAGAGAGGAAAAACTCATGATCTAAAACAATATAAAATTAATTCCCTTAGGGAAATCCAAGAAAGGGATTGTAAGCATTCTGTCATGACAGAATGTATTTCAGCCTGGCTCTGTTTGTCAAGGATATAATGGCATAAAAATTCAGAGGAAGTAACAGCATTAGTAACTTACAGTAGCCTCATAAATGCTCTAGTGCTTAATAATTCCTGTAACACTCAGATCGGTGTTAAATCTGAAGTTCCTGTTTAAGCTCTTGTGTTCTTAGTTAATTAAAGCAAAGATAAAAATAGTAACTGGATAACTGAAGTTCGTTATTGCAATTACTGAAAAAAAAATTGCAGCATTTATTCACTAAATAGTAGTGTGCTGCCTAAAATATAAATAGCTTTATAGGGGTTTTTTTGGTTTTTTTTTTAATTTTTAACACTGTAAAAAGGGTATGCCTGCACAGATGTGTGAAATAGAACTGTTCTAGTAGCTGTAGATGACAGCGTGTCTTTACTGTATCTCTAGAAATTTGCTCTGCTGATTGGAGAACAGGAACTGCTATTCCTAAAATCTGTTTACAAAGCTAATAATGTTCTAGAGAATGTGGTTCAGAGAGAAGATATATGGAGTATTGTCTTACCATATGAATATTTAATTTTTTCATAGTTTTCAGTTGGAAATCTGAAACTGATCAAATCTAAATTTGTCTGCTTTTTACCTTCTAAAATATTAATGAAATTTGTTGATTATCACAGACTGCCACAAAAGGTTATCATAGAGAGCTAGCCCTTTCCTTAAAGGAAAAAATCAGAATTTTTAGGAAACCTATTCTGAATAAAAATAGAGTTTTAGGGTAACCAAACAAGCAAACCATGTGTTCAAGAGAACTTCTTACTTTTATGAAACACGCAGGTTTATAAATCAAAATATGCATTGCCAGTATTAGTTTACCAGTCTTATTTTCTTCGGTATACAACATTCTTTTTTGTTTTATGTGGTTAGCCATAGCATGTGCTTACTTTATTTATGAGTTAATTCTTCTAAATTTCATAGTTAAACATAATGAAAATACTAGAATCAGGCAGAAAACCAACCAAATTTAGTGAGTTTTGCAGTAACAGTAAAGGAAATTGTGTTGTTTGGTTTTATTTTTCGTTACTAACACAGGTTAGTTACAAATGCTTTCTCTGGGAAAGTAGCTCATAAAGTTCTAAAATGTGTTTGACCAATGGCTAAACTGTAATTGGATAGGCTTAGCATACACGGAATTTCGCTAGCTCTGTTCCCTGTTTGAGCACTGATCCAGGATTTGTGGACAACCTGGGGAGAAGCTGGAGGTGCATCAGTCTAGAACCCCTGTCTGCCACAGGAGCCCAGAAAAGCAGGGAAAATTCAAGCTGTGTTGTGCTCCATGAGCAAGTTCTTGGGTGCTCTAACTCAGAAGCCCCCTGGAATTTCCCAAGCACTGAGAGTGTAACCATGTGGCTGCAGGGTCTGTACAAGGAATCTGGGAGTCTTTGCTGCCTCCTTTTTAGGTCAGGTAGGACAGATTAGTCATGTGCAAGTTTAATGTTGACAGGAGGTAAATGAGAATGGAGCAATTTAATTCATAGCAGGAAGAAGCTTTAGCACTCTGTAAAAAGAGTGGTGGTTGTCTGAAAGAGCATTAAACTTGATCTTTTATTGTCAGAAAGTTCATCTACTGAAAGTGGTTCTCAGGTAAAAAAGAGGTGAGAAAATTAACTAGAGGAAATGGATTAAGCAGTGGTTAAAAAAACTGTAGGCTTTGCATTTCTTTAAAGGACTGTAGGCCTTGATTACTATTGCTTAAAGATCAGTAATGTATAGTTAGAAAAGGTTTCTATTATATAGATTGCAGTAAAATGAATGTGGTTTGCTTCATGCTGTTGTTTTTCTACAGTATTCAGAAAGGATTTTTTCAGAATCTCACATATATATTTTTATTAGTTTAGGTGACTAATTTAGTGCCATGCATATTTGGCTACCTGCTGAGGAAAATTAGAGCTACTCATCAGTTTATTCACATTTTTTTTTTAATGCTGGTCTTTAGTTGTAACTACAGTATCTACCTTAGCCTTTATATTTTAAAATTCTATGAAAGTCTGTATTGGATTTCAAAAAAGATTGTCTGAATTACACTTTAACTTACCCTTTCAACAGCTGGGACAGTGCCACAATTAATGTGCTGTTGGTTTTCTATTTTTTTATGTGTTAGCTATTTCACTAGGTGAAAATGCTTAGATTAGTATGTAAGTGATTATTGAATGATTATTTGATCTACATTTGCATTTCCTCTAGCATCCAGATATCACTTGTTCTTTGCTCTCTCTCTTTAAAGAACAGAAATGACTGCACTCTCAGGGGGAAAAAAAGCTGCATGAAAAGATGTTATTAGAAAAATAAAAAGAGTGGTTGAACATGCACAAAAGAATGTAGTCATTTCATCTCCATTTAATTAACATGAGGTTGAAGAATTGTTTCTTGCTTTCATTTTTACCATATGCTATTGTTTAGATAGTTCAATTTTTCTGTTAATTAGAAACAGAAGATAAGGATGAAGATGTGATGATTTGAGTTGGCTTAATAAGCATTTGGAAGTGGCCTTCTTTTCCAGTTTTGATTTGCATGTGATGAATTAATTTGTCCATAATTTATGTTTTGTTTTCAAAGCAGTCTTGGGGGCTATAGGAGGGAAGCTGCAATTTTTATTGGACTTTATTGGATTTGAAGGGATGTCTTCTACAGGATCAGGTTGACATATTTGCAATAGATGCACTATGAGTGTGAGGAAACAAGGGATCAAGGTCCCTGCATTCAGTGTCAAATTTTCCTTTCAGTTAATCAGTTTATCTTCTGGAAGTCTCCTGTATTCTGAATTAAAAATATGTTGGTTGGCAAGAAGATCATGTTCTCTAGTCTGGTTCTTCCATTTTTCACTTGTATTGCTACTGCTTCTGTTTGCCTTGGTTTTGTAGCTATGAAAAACCCTGTGTTGTGTTAAATCTGGTTTACTTTCGTGTTATAAAATCCTGACTCTGTGGATATTAATTCAGGATTTTTACAGTTTTCATTAGATATGTATCATTTAATTTAATTACATATAAATTGCTAGGAACATACTTGCTTCCCTGCTAGTAATCTAGTTTAGCTGATCTGCTCTGCTATGAGAGCTTTTTTTCTTCTCAAGTCTGGTAACTACTAATGTATAGAATTTTGGAAAAAAAGTGTCAGAACCTTTTCATAACCATGAATTTAAGAACTATAATAAATAGTTAAGGAGGTGTTTCATTTCCTGTGAATCTTCTGTTTCTACATGGAACAGCAGTTCAGCTACCACAAAAAGGATAAAAAGCGATCCTTTTCCGTTTAGCAAAGGTTCTGCTCAGTTCTGTGTGTTTCAGGAGGGATTGGAGCCTCCTGGGAGCCAGAGAGTGACAGTTTAACTCCAGAATGGAACAGGTATCCTTCCTAAGGAGGAGGAACAACCTGTCTACTTGATTTCTCTGCCTAAATGCTGTGGATGCTCTTCTCTGTGTGTGCTCTTGGGAGGCTCCACACAACCCCATGCTCCCTGGAATGACAGCTTTGGTTCTGTTCTGCAGCAGCTTGGGCACTCGTTTCTCTGAATATTGCATTTCCTCCTGGCCAGTTGCAATGCCTGAGGCCTTTATTGCAGTTTCTGTAATTTTCTCTGCTAGTGTATGACTTAGAAAGAAAGGCAACATTTTGGTGGTAAACCACCTCAACTCTCTGAGGTTTATTGCAAGGATTAATGTGCCATTATTAATTTTTCATTATTCCGTTGGAATTACATGTATAAAACTATGATGTGAGATTCCATTTCTATAGCTTTCTTTCACAGAAAATTTATTTATGACTGAATGAAAAAATATGTACTACTGTATTGATAATATCTGTTGATTGTGCTTCAATGAGTAAGTCTTTGAGAGAATTGTCAGTGCTATTGTCAATACATCCCATAAATGTAGTGAATAATCATAGTTTTGATCATTTTTTTATAAGAAGATGC